CGACATCATACGTCTCCTCGTACACCACCACTCAGTCTCGAACACCGTACACTCAAGGGCCCCAGCAAGGATTCGGAGGCTATGGCTCCAATGGACGGCCACCAATTCAAAATTATGGTAATAATTATCCTGGTCAGTCGCGTGGTGGTCCACCCCCTCGAGGAGGTGCCCCTCCCTCGCGTGGAATGCTACCAAATCGCGGTGGCCCTCCCCGCGGTGGTCCTCCCCGTGGCGGCCCTCCTCGTGGCGGTAGTTCCGGGTATGGAGGTTCTACGTCCTATGCTCAAACCGCTCAACAACCGGGATATGGCCGTGGAGGCTACTCTGGTGGGTACGGTGGCAGCAGTGGAGGGTATGGTGGACAGGCGAACAGTGGTTACGGAGGCTACGGTGGGCAGGCAAGCCGAGGTGGCTATGGTGGTTCAGGAGGACAAGACAACGGCGGCAGTTACATGGGTTATGGAAACCAGAATGGCGGACAGGCTCGTGGTGGCTATGGAGGTGGCTACAATGGAGGAGGTTATCAGAACCCTTCGAGGGGCCGAGCCCGAGGATTCTAGAGTAACTTATTTGCATACTACGTCGTTAATATTTTCCTTGGGAGATACTTTGTATTTTAGACCATCGATATATATATTTCTCTGCTTTCTCTCTGATTATTCTGATTATACCAACAAGTGTTCCGTTTACGTGGGGCGTATTGTCTCGTGAATTATAACAAGACGTGTCTGTATAGTATGCTCGCAGTCGTCTTTTATTCTTGCAAACCGCGAGTGCTCGAATGGCTCGTCGACATCGCACTCTCAATAGTGCCGTTTAAAGCTGACCATGTGCCCAGAAGACGCGCAAAAGATTGTCGCGTGGATACTTGAGGATGAAGAGCAAATTAGAGTGATACAGCGTTGCACAATTTACATGAAAATACATTGCGCTTGTTCCAGGATGAAGTCTCCGAGGCTGTGGGCTGACGGACAGGTTAGGAGAAAAATGAGCGATCACACGATCACAAGTAGAGACATAGGAGATCGTCGAGCGCACAGCGCTTCACCGATTGAGAGTCCAGGTGAAGCTCGGGTAGAGCGCAGACGGGAGTGTCACGCGAATTGCTTCCGCGGGATCAAACGTTTGGCTACAATATGAAAATGGCTGTACCGCCCTCAGTGAGGATGAGTCACGGGGAACGCTCAAATGACTCCCTGGTCCTAGTCTTCAACTTAGTAAATGGAAATTTATCATCCACTGTCCTTGAACGGTGCCAGCCGGCATGAGTGATTGAAATGCATTCTGGGTTCTGCTATATAGTGAGAAACATGTCGTCTTACGCACTAGACGAGTGGGCTGAACAGCGGCGTGCGCCACAAAATTTGCAATTCAATCAGCTGCACAGCCTTAGTCCATACATAGTGTCTCGAATTTCCAATGTACTTGACAAAGGCTCCGTGTCCTATTTTGTTAAAGAGCTGCGCCCGTAGTTGATTATGACATGCACGTCTTGTTGTATGTCATTCCGGCTGTATCCGCTCTCCCACGACTCCAGTCGGTGCTTGATGCGGCTACACACAGCATCCTGCCCAACCACTCAAGGTCTCCAATTGCGTACCTCGAGGTTTATTTGATGAACTTTCCATGTACGTCGTTGACTTCTCATCCTGTAATGCATACCTGACCTCGTGTTGTCAATTTTCTGCATCACCACGCACCCACGATACAGAGTCCAGATCCCGACTCTTCCATCGGGTTGGAAATATTCTCTTTGGCAGGCCAAGTTGTGCACAGGTCGAGCTGCACAAGCATAGCTCAGCAGTAGTCGATATCCTGTATGCCAAGGGCAACCGTCTTCCTTCGCCAGTGTTCGAACCCATCTATGATATCACGTGGAAAAACGCCTCAGCAGGAAAAACCAATCTCAAAAAACGCTGCTGAAAGCAGTTCGCACCTTCCTAATGGCAATGTAACACAACGTTCCAGCTTAGGCTCGTCTACCACACCTCCCGTCGTTGCTACTACAACTTCAACTAATCCTCGTGTAACGATAAATCACGCTAGACGCTGGACTCCCTTCTGGCTCTTTATCTGTTGTGCATCTACCGAGTATACTGTCGGTCATCATTACATCATAAAGATCTCTCCCGTGACTCGGACGTTATCCCATCCCTTGAGTACAAGCAATGGTAGGAATGACTGTTTTCCTTCTCTTATGATCTCACTAGGGGAAACTAATACAATGGAGGCACAAAGCCGTTGTTGCATACTTACTTTATACGGGTAGAGAGGTTAAACGAATCATCCGTGGCCTGGCCGGATTGAGCCTCGTGTAGATATCCCGGCTCTCATTGGCTCTGATAGTAAGTCTCATTCCTTGTTCGCAACACAGTGGCGCAGACATAGTGGAATGCCATGGCATATTTGACAGCAGCCGATTGTTTCTGACTGGGACTGAGACATTCTTTTACAGCCAAAATCAAAGGCACAGCGGCGGTCGACCTTGTCCACGATTTTATATCGATATTCATGTCCCAATCCCCTCCCACACCACACGCACTCCCGGGTTCTTAGCCTCATGATGAACTTTGGCTATCTTTGTTTGTTTCCTATCTCACCACGTGTTAATCAGGTGCTGAACAGACAACACAGAAATACTTTCGGACTATGTAACAGTACGTAACATACAGTACAAAATGTTCTCCGTCCCAGAGATCTATCCTGATTCCTGATTCCCCTCATAAGTTGGCGCCGAAGAAAAATCGTACATACACTGACAATGAGATACCTTCCTCTCACACTACTTCCTGTTGTTTATGCGCAGCAACATGCGTTCGACACCAAGCATGAGCCATGGACAGCAAAGTACGGCACACAGGCAGACCTCAGTTACACGGGACCTCTGAGCTACTCCCATCTACCCTACACACGTTGCCTGGATGATTCGTCGACAACCTTTGACATCGCTGTTCTCGGCATGCCATTTGACACAACAACGTCTTACAGACCAGGGGCACGTTTCGGACCATATGCAATTAGATCTGGTTCCAGACGTCAATCCGCTGAGGCGGGCTACGCGTTGGAATGGATGACGAACCCGTACACCCGCGCAGAAGTGATCGACTGCGGAGACGTAAGTTTCAGCCGGTCATAGGTGTCTAAACATATTGACAGAATGTTCAACAGGTCCCTATCAGCCCCTATGACAACGCGTTAGCTGTTGATCAAATGGAAACTGCGTATACCACCCTTTTGGCACGACCCGTGAATGGAAGTGCTAGTGCGCGCACCGCGAAGCTTGCACATGACGGAGTGGAACACCCTCGTATACTGACATTAGGTGAGCCCTGGACCATGGTTTCGTTTGCGGATATGTAATTGATCATGTACTGCTAGGCGGAGATCATACCATTGTGAGATAGCATGATGCACTTACATCCTCCGGATTTCACATGTCCAATGATCTCTAGGTGCTTCCGATTCTCCGATCTCTTCATCAGGTTTATGGACCCATATCTGTCATTCACTTCGATGCACACATCGACACCTGGCCGAGCTTGGGAGGCATTACCGAGCAGTCTAGGGTCACGCACGGGACATTTTTCACATTGGCGTTTGAGGAAGGACTCATGTCCAACACCAGCATTCATGCTGGGATCCGGAATAAACTGCAGGTCGGGGCGTTCCTTGTGTCTTAAATTGGCTCGAGCTCACGCACTTTAAATGAACAGGGCCCTGAGCTGATCGAACACGATGAAGAAGTTGGATTTGAGCTTATTATGGCTGAGGATATCGACAACCTTGGCACGGATGAGATTGTCAAGCATATCCGACAACGCATCGGCAACTCTCCTGTTTACCTGAGGTATGTCTCAAGCAATGCGTTGCTGATCACAATATTGATTCCCGCCTCAGCTTTGACATCGACACTATCGGTCTGCAGATGTTCCAATTGATCACTAATCACTGTATACTGACCGCTCTCTGATAGACCCTAGTCAGGCACCTGCAAGTGAGCGCAATATCACTAGGGGAATTTTGAGGTTATTGACGCCTAGGTAGCTGGTACACCAGAGCCTGCTGGATGGACCGGTCGAGAAACCAAGCGAATCCTTCGAGGTCTTGCTGGATTGAATTTTGTGTAAGATTCTTTTTTTCATTCACGGGCCTGTATAAACAGTTGATGTCTCATTTGTAGTGGGGCTGACATTGTCGAGGTTGCTCCAGCATACGATAATGGTAAGATCTATCTCCCTAATTTTGAATTGAGGGGGCTCACAGTCCAATCCAGCCGGCGATATCACTGGCATCCTTGCTGCTGGCCTTGCAGATGACTTCCTCGCCCTGTTGGTCACCGACGAGCCGCCTAAACGGCAAGTCAAGCGAAGGCAATCACTCACCGACGAGCTCTAGAACCCAGAAGACGGCTTTCTGTCAACACTCATGCTAGGTTATTGTTCCAAGGCAAGGCACTGTTTCACAACAGAATACAGAGGGTATCTGAGTAGATGACGTCCTACAGTCAAAATTTTCATGGTCCATTGATAAAAAATATGCAGTACATAGACAAGCTTATGATTCCGAGTAAAATTCCGTTCATTACAAACGCAAGCGCTTGTACACGATATTGACACTATCTCTTTCTTCTGTCGTTGACGCAAATAAACAGAGCGTATTAAGTCAGACGTAGGGCCTGCCACGATGTTGTAACCAGGTCCTAACACAATGTCTCCGATGAAAAGAATACAATGCTCGTGCTTGGTGCGTAAAACGGCACCTTGCACTATGATATGCTTAGAAGTAGAAGATAAAGAACTTTTGGCACGAGCTTGCGGATAGTAGCAGCGAACGGGAATGTTCTGCTGCAAAAACATATTGGGAAATGTCCGTGTCAAACCCGTGATCTTGCCTTGTTCCAGTGATGAATGACTACCTCGAGTGACTTTTCCACCTACGATGAGAATAGGCAAAGCAGAATTGCTATCACCGAGAGATCATAATTCCTGCGAGAATAGTATGAGTAATGTGAGCATGCTGCGAAGAGCTGGAAAGGGAGGAACATCATTGGCAGCCTGAGATAGCCTAGATATAATTAAAGTCTGAGTAACAGCACCATCAGTCATTACTGAACCGATCATAACGTGCCGCATAAGTCTGTGAATGTGTCCAAGTGCGGGCATCAATACATAGTCAACTATACACGGGAGTAGCACAATAACAATAAAAAATATCAACAGTCCCACACCCACCTTCTTGCAAGCTTGTTATCCCATCAGTGATAGTAGTTATAAGATGCATGGTTGCGGTGTGCGCCACTGTGACTTCTGAGCCTGTCACGGGACCCGGTCGGCTCGAGTTGATCGCCAAGATAAGACACAACATAGGTCAAGTATAACGAGTACTTCCGCTCGCGTTCGTTATCCCTTTCCGATTCAGGAAATGAGAGCTCATTGTCTACAGTCCCTGCGTACGGGCCTGACCATCGCTCACGGCCCTTGTAGAGGACTACCTCTACCCTGCGGGGACCGAAGAAGGAATTGTTCCACAGGTTGATCAAATCTACAACAGCCGAGTCCCGTGAAGGCGAACAACCCCCGGCAAACTTGGGAAGGGGCAGTTTTCCCATCCACGCAAGAAAAATACTCTGTAACAAAAAATAAGCTGATACGTCACTGAAGTGGTGTTCATAAGCACGTACATTCATAAATGCGCCCCAATCCTGGTGGTAAACATCATGGGTATCGAGCACCGATGGCATGCTTGGAATCTGGTTGGAAAATTGATCCATGCCGTGAATCCTTATCATACTGAACGGAGTGTAAGCTTGAGTGGCATCCGGTGGACGGGCGAATGGATGAGGAGAAGAGTCCGACATTGATTCTCTGTGAAAAGCAATGATGGGCATACGTGAAGATGAATAAAACTCTGGCCCGGTGGGTGCATTTGGAAATGGAGAGGGTACTTGTAACTGGGGATCCAAAATAGGCTGATCCTCCAAGGCATGCCCATGCGGGTATACAATTTGCGGAGGGATAATATGAAGTGAAGGAGTGCGGTGGAAGGAATAGGGTGATCTCGACTGCTGACGACTCTGGTATGGCGCACGTGGGTGAGTGCGAACATCAGGTGAAGGAGTGTGGTGGAAAGGATAGGGTGATCTCGACTGCGGACGACTTTGGTATGGGGACGGCACGTGGGAAGCAGGGCGTGAGTGTGACATTGGAGAGGGCGCGCGAGCACTATAAGGAGAGCGCCCTCGGACGGAAGACAAGGATGCTGCCAATACGGTGGGATCAGGTCCACCAGGGTAAGTGAAATGGGGGATCTCTTTCAGCCTTACAGTTAGTAACATCGAGCGAGCACCCAGAGGCATATAAGACGCACGTTCGTACCACTTCTTAGATACCACATCATCTTCCCTACCCGAAAGATCGAGAGCAAAGGATCCTGCCGCAAGTCCCTTATTCGCATGCTCAGTACTCAATGGTCGTGAGACAACACTCAGGTGATCCGAGGACTCACTGTATTGGGGAGCTGAGTGCCTGTTAGTAAGATCTGTGTAGCATCGGTAGGGACCCATTGGAGACCATGTACAATTCCTTGGGAGGTCTGATAGCTGTACACCATGATTGGATCAGGCATCTTGTCAACATCGATTCGTAAACCACTTGCCTTACAGGCACCGCCCTGCAAGCAAAATGAAGTGAGCTTAGCAACACGTCTTAGAGATGCGTTCATACCTGAAAGGATGCTTTGTAACCTGACCATCTGCACTGTTAGTGCTCGTCGTGTAGGTGATAGTTCCAGGTGTAATCTGGCCATTTGCAGCCCAACTATGTGCAATGTGAGAATGATCGGGTGGGTACAACTGGGGTTGCAGCTCGTGAATCCTGAAACCTCCTACTCCATCCACATCCATTGTGCACCCTGTTAATGAAGGAAGCTGTTTGAAGGGAAGAAGATCGCAGTGATAGGATGTGATCGTCGCTTCAAACGTTTGGGCGGCAAATATTGCACTCGAGCCATACCTCAGGCTTCAGGGTAGGTCTTCCCCCACCGGTGACATAGTATTTCTGGAAAGTCAGTGATAATGACAGAGTGGGCGAAGCGCCTTACCATGCTGACAACGACAACCATCGTGACTCGTCACTCAGACTCCAGAGCATAGCCTACTGGCCGCGGCCGCGGTTGTGTGTCATGCAGTCTGGGAAGACTGCCGTGCCTTGGATAAACTATGTAGTTATGTGTCTTATTAGTATCAGCCCTACCTAGCTATACAGTAGTTATTCGAAGTGGAGTTCATTATGGCGCCTACTGTTTAGCTATAAATAGCTCGAAATGGCCGGAACAGACGGACACAATGAAAGCCTGGGTTGTAAAAATACCGCTGCTCGGCCTAGGCAATATTACGAGTACATATTTGTATTCGTATGGATGAACAGTTCGTAGCTATATAGTATATATATTGAATATCGAATCGGGGATGGGGAAAATATAATGAGTATTAGGCTATAGGAGTCAGCGGAAATTATCGGATGGAATTGAAACCGGAAACCGCCAAAAAAACGTAACTGTGGTCAAACTGTAGCCGTCACGGTAACAGATTGACTCGACTTAGTCGCTCCTTAATATTTAATAGTTGGGAGACAGTGAGCTACAAGTGGACATTTTCTAGGTATTTATGTTCGATGTAAAAACGCGGTGTGATTGGAAAGTTGACCTCGATCAAACCCTCCTCACGTATCTTCTCCCATGGTTTAGATAAATTCTGTTCCAAGTAGACAGTCTCAAACCCGAACCCAACAGCAGGGGTGGTTGGGCTGAACCGATCTACCAGTTGGCATCTGAGGGGGATTCCGGCTGACTTGCCCTGCATCTCCACAACCTCACGGACTAATCCATCCCTGACAAGCGAGTAGTTGATGATCCCAAGCGCATATCGATACCGACCGTGGCCCAACGAGTTGTCGACATTGATGTCAATCTTGATGTTGGGATACAACAGGCATTCGAATGTGATGCAGGCACTCCCTGTTCCAGCAGCCTTTGAGAAAGGGAGACTGAGAGGGAGGATCACTAGAGGCACCCGCAAGCCGAGACTGGTCATAGTCATCTCCAGTCGCCCGCCACTATCCAACTTCAACTCTCGACGGTTCATGAAGCTCCTTGGAGATCGAGGAATAGCACATGAAGTGCGATGTTTTGCAGCCTTGCCCTTCCAATTGAGGACAGAAGGGTCGCCAGCCTGCATGATGGCTTCGATGAGCCTGCAGAATGCGCGGTCTCCTCCTTCTCCATATGCGATTTGCAGGCTGACGTCGAATATACCCATCAGAGAATACGCTACATCTTCAACCTTCGTTGTTTTGCGTCTGGCTGCCCACACCATCCGCTCATCCACATTGAACGGACGTGGATTGAACTGGCAGTTGATCTTATCATGAGGAATACCAGTGGCCTTCTCCAGAGTCTGCAGTATTTTGGTGGTAGCTTTTTGTTTGTCGTTTGAATCATTCGTCATAGGCTTCCAGTGCTTATTGAAGAATTTGATATGGGCGGGTGCAAGGAGTTCTTGCAATGTCCAGCCCCTTTCCGTCCATTCATCTCGCAATATATCCTCGATGGTCGTGCTTTTTGCTAAATGGACGACGCAAATAGCAGAATTATGATACCACCGAAACATGGAGCGAATGGACTCGTCCAGCTCGGCACTGCTGCTCTTGTCGATACAGCAGGTATCTGACCATGCAAATTCCACGTTTTGCTTCCTGGCCTGTTCACAGAAGTTCTTCAACTTTTTGTATCCAGGACCCGTTGCTGTGCCCGCCTTCATTTCTTCGTACGTTGGCTCTCCCGAATCCAGCCATCGGTGAGAGAGAATGGCATATCTGACAACTCGGGAGGGTTTATAACTCCCAAGATTCGTTTGAGGGACAAAGCTCCGAAAGTGCTTCCTTACATCATCACGCTCCACAAATGACATGTCTGATAGGCGTATGAAGCGGATCGGGATGTGGTTCATCACATATTGGTCGAACTCCTCGAGGAGTCTTCCTGCGACATCACTCATGGCGAATGCCTGGAAGGGCCACAAATGAATAAGTTATGATACGACAGCATTTTGATGATACATACCACACGTGCTACAACTCACCTGCGTGAACGTCAAGAGATGTTCCGCAGCTGGCCTGATATTTGTTTAAGGTTTATAGGTCCAGCGGCTACAGACCATCAGGTGAGTTTAGCGTCTCAATTGTCCGAAAACGCATTCGGCTTACCTCGGGCGAGTATAAAATGCTTTGAGTGACGATAAACTTGATGATGCAAAGAATGTGATACTAAACGCCGTGGTTTTGAAGATCACTACGACCTACTTGTAGGCCTGTAGGTCTTGTGTTCGGTGTCTTGTCGTTGATTTTCTATCGTATCTTCCTTTATCTAACCACGATATTATCGTGGGTTTGCGGTGATTCAGTTGAATGACGTGCACTGACAGCACGTCTATACACGGTATTAGAAGTCCAATACGGCGGTCTATCTCTTTGACGCTTGTCTCCTCCGTGCATCGGGGTACGGAATGGCCCGTCCTGCAATACTGTAAGGGTTTACGGCGTGCGACTAGCGAGAATGTGGTCTAAATGATATCATAGATATAAGGGCATCATGATTCTGGTGCAAGAGCACTTAGGGGCAGAGACTCCGGCTGGGTCACCTGCTTTAGATCTCTCGACAGTCCAAGCTTGAGTTCTCGGAACCCGGTTCCTTATCTATGTCACTACCTGGAACCTGTGACCTCGCCCAACCGGTAACAAATTGATTCGCAGTCCGTAGTAGTACAATGACAATGGAAAGTTCAAGTATCAACAAATTCGACGTTACTGGATTCATGCACTGCATGTTCTATCAACCATAGTAAGAATTTCCTGGAACAGGCATATCGCGAGGCGCGATGTAGTTCAAGTACAACGCGTACTGCCTCTCGCGTTCCTTGGCCTTTTTCCTGATCTTCTTTTCCTTCTTGCGCCACTTCTTTTCCTCCTTCTTCTCTCGGCGCCTTCTCTTGGATTCAGCGAGATCAACGCCGCGACCGTAGTACTCGTCCTCAGACTCCGAAGAGAGAGAAGAAGATTCTGACGAATCAGAATCAGAATCAAAGTCGAGGTCAGGCATTGGAAGGTTTTTGTCCAAGGTCCCCGTGTGTGGACCTGAGCGTCGCTCGCGGCCTTTGTAGAGGACCACCTCAACGCGACGGGCGCGGAAGAATGAATCGTTCCACAGATTGATCAAATCTGCAACAAGTGAGGTCCGCTTGGGAGGGACTCCCCCCTTGGAGAATTCATGAATGGGCATCTTGCCGGCCCACGCAAGAGCAAGATCCTGAAGTAAAAGTGAGCTGATAATCCAATGAACAAGTCTGTCACCACGTACATTCATGAATCTGATCCAGTCCTGGTGGTAAACGTCATGAGTGTCGAGCACAAGTGGCATACGAGGAATCTGATCGTAGAATTTTTCCATCTCTTGAATCCTCATTACGCTAAACGGAGTGTAAGGTTGAGCGGCATTAGGTGGACGGGAGAATGCCTCCGGAGCAGCGAGTTGTAACGAATCTCCTCCGGTTGCAGCGCCGGGCATGCGAGGGGATGAAGGGAATCCTGCGTTAGGCATACGGGGAGATGAAGAGAATCCTGCGTTGGGCATACGGGGGGATGACGGGAATCCTGCGTTGGGCATACGGGGAGATGAGGAGAATCCTACGTTGGGCATACGTGGAGATGAAGAGAATCCAGGTCCAGCAGGCGCACCGGGCATTGGAGAAGGTGCTCGCGACCGGGGGCCCCCGATGGGCTGGCCTTCAAGGACATGCCCACGGGGGTATACTGATTGGATTTGCCCAGGGGGGACAAATGGTGAAGGAGCGCGGTGAGGAGGAGGATAGGTCGATGCCTGTTGACCATGGTATGGGGATGGTGCCCGGGACACAGGGCGTCCGTATGGAGAAGGTGCACGGGGTGGCCCCGGCGGCATTGGAGAAGTAGCACGGGGCACCGGCGGCATTGGAGAAGGCGCTCGAGCACCATAAGGAGAGGGTCCTGGTCCCCCATAAGGAGAGGGTGCTCTGGCGCCATATGGAGAGGGCGCTCTGGCACCGTAAGGAGTGGGTGCTGTGGCACCAAAAGGAGAGGGCGCCCTGGGACCGGGTGCTGCGGCCCCATAAGGAGAAGGCGCTCTGGCCCCATAAGGAGAGGGCGCTCGGGCACCATAAGGAGAAGGCGCTCGGGCACCATACGGAGATGGCGCCCTCACCATGGGATCTGGTCCACCAGGGTACGTGGAAGGGAATTCTTGCGGCCTTATATTTGGTGAAGTGGAGAAATTACCTACAGGTCTGTAAGGAGAGGCTGCACGGTTGTAAGGACCAGCTCCTCCAGTTGTAGGATAGCCTGTTGGGCTACTGTATGTGGCGGGAGGGGAAGAGTATGCCCCTGCACCACTCTGAGAAAGCTTTCTGGGCCTTGCAGCGAAGGAAACCTCCTTGCGCTCTATGTCGAGACTGTCGAATCTGCGGTCAAGATCGGCACTGCTGTAGGTGCCGTATGCAGCGGTCCCCGGAATGGAGTATCCAGAGGGAGGTGCTTCTCCGTAGAAGCTCTTTTTCCGTCCTCTGACCTGAGTATCCCTCTCGCGCGCCATGCGGATATCTATTTCATCCCTTTCGATCTGTTTCGCAATGTTCTTGAGGGATGCCTTCTCTTCTTTTTTTTTGCGCTTCTCCTCAGACCGTTTCCTGAAAAAGGTTTAGAGTCTGAAGCAGCATTACATCGAACGAACCGTACCACTTTTCAAGCTCCCTCTCTTCTTCCCTGCTGAGCTGGCCGCGATTAAAGGATGCAGCGAATTCCTGATTCGCATGTTCAATCAATGGTCATGAGCAAAACTCAAGCGATCTGAGGACTCACTGCATTGGCAGGTTGAGCACCTGTTGGCAAGATCTGCGTGGCTTCGGCAGGGACCCATTGAATGCCATGCACAACACCTTGGGGTGTCTGATAGCTGCACATCATAATCTGATCAGGCGGTGCGATCTCGTCAACATCACAACCACTTGCCTTGCAGGCACCGCTCTGCAACATCGATAGGTTACGATAAAGCTAGTTTGTGAGACAGATGCCGATCATACCTGAAAGGATGATATGTAACCTGACCATCCGCACTAGTGGATGTCGTGTAGGTGATAGATCCGGGCGCGATCTGGCCACCAGACGGGGGAGAATATGGCTGGGGCTGCTGCTGGGGTTGCTGCTGAGGTGGAGAAAACCCTCCTGTTCCGTT